TTGATTTAACATTGTCTGTTGACGGGCAGAAAATTTAATAATAAGTTTCATGTTATAAAGCAGTTGCCGTGTGAAACTTCTGGAATCTTAGGTATAAATTTTTTACGTAAGTTTAATTGTAGCATAAATTTTGAATTGAATAATATTACACTGCATAATATGAATGAATTAGTAACTTTACCATTACATATGGGTATTTTGGGAAATAATAATTATTTGAGTATACCTCCGAGATGCGAGAATTTATTTTATATCAATGCGAGTATGAAAGAAAGAAATGTTCAAAAATGGGAATACGAATGATTGAGTGGTTAAGTTTCGTCAATATTGGACTGATCACCCAAATATTTGATGATGCTTAAACTAGTAGTATTGAATCCGTTAAGAGTGAGAATTATGAAAGCATAAAAGGAATAAATATAAAAGAAAATAATTGGCCTTAATAAATAGGTAATGGAGAGATATGGGAACGTCCATCACTGGTATAACATATAGTCCTCGAGCAGGGTATGTTTCCGTGATTGGACGATAAAATCGGGCGTAATGGGTACTAGGGAACAGTATCTTCAGTACAAGTGATGTACACAAGTTTACACATATTAGTACTGTTAGGGACCATAGAAGTCTTAAATTTGTTACCCTTAATAATGGTACATGGAGGTCATATCCTTCATTGGATCACAGTGTGAACTTAGTTTTCCTCCGTGACAATTGTTGGAGTCCTTTTAAAATGACTTAAACGTAGACGCGTCAAGGTTGTGCGCACAACCCAAGATACATTTTACCTTGATATAGAAAAAAAAGTTTATGTACCAATAAAATGAAATGAATGTTACGAAAATGTACTACGAGTATAATAATAATACCCAAATAAATGGGAGGCCCATATTTATAAAGCACCCGCGTGATAAAAATCACGAAATAAAATATAAATGAAATTAATTAATACTCCGATTCCCGGTATCTAATAAATAAATAAATAAATAAGTGAATAGAGAGAAAGAGAGCTAGCTTAAGGTCAAAAATATTAGGAAGAAATAAAAGAAAGTACGTACAAGAATTATGGAAAAAAGGCCTAATAATCGACAAAAATACAGGATAATAAGGGGATTTCCGAGCAAATCAAAAGGTGTGATAAATGTATGATAATCTAAAGGTGAGATAGGTAGTTATTTTGCATTTCTGTATTAGGACTATTAATGCTACCCAAAATGCGATTAACGAGTTACACGTGTAATAACTATAGGGATCGATTTACACAACTACGCGAAAATGTGTTGTGTGTGTATGTATTGTGTGCGTAATTGTTTAACCACATTTGTATATGAATTTACGAGATATTTTTTTCATATTTTAGGCACATTGATTCATATTTACTACAAATCTGGTTGAATTTTTTGTCATATGTTTTTATGTAAAATTTGTACATTTTAAACTATATTTGGTTTATATTTTGCTCATAAAGTAAAGTCCAGAGTCTATCAATACACTGTTATTATAAATTTATTAATGTAATAGTATTCTTTTTACGTTTTTTTTAAGACAACGAAACCTAAAATTATGTTATCTGTTTGAAATAAAATTGCCTTTTCCAATGTTAATAAATATTTCGTAAAACAAACTTGAGCTGTGTACCTAGTCGTGTTTTTTTATATAAATTTCATGTCATGAAAAAATGAGTTTTCGAAATTATAAATAACTTAATTAATGATTTTTTGTTGATGTACCTATGTAAAAGTATAATACTTTTACAAAATGAATTTAAAATTGAATGTAACAATCTATATTTAGAGGTACAAACTATTGGGAAAGTTAAATTAATTTTATTTATAATATCATTTTAATGCATGGTTAAAACTAGGTACCATTATACAACGTAATCAAAAAAAAACCGTTCCCATGAACATACTTAGAAATTAAAACAAAGGTGTCACAAACCGCTTACGCGGCTGAGATTGTAAGTTGTATTCGATCCCTGTAATGATTATGATTATGTTGCACTAGGATCGCCGTGAGAAAAAACGTGTAATATTAAACGACTATCATTTTTGCCAACTAACGGTCTATATGTAATGCAAAGAAAAGATTCTTTTGACCAGAGTTAGCAAATCGATGTGACAAGTGTTGCGACATAAACAATTAATAAAAATATATGGTGCTAATGGTTATAACCGATTTATAGGATATTCCACTTTTCATAGATTTTATTTAGATTTAGTAGGGCCCTAATGTAAGAATAGTTTTAATAATGTTTATATACTCACACTGCAGTGTGATTTAAATGAGTATGCTGAAGTTTATCCACTTAAAAGTAAGGATACTATTTCAATGGCATTAGCTTCTTTTAGATTTGTTAAGATTTAAAATGAATAATATAGTTTAAGTTTAAGAAAATATTAATATTGTAAACAGCCTTATATATGTCTTATAATATTTTTGATAACTATACTTTTTTTAAAACTGTATTTTCATAAACTTAAATTTGATGATAGTTTAATAAATTTAAATAAAGAGATAGAAAGTTATTTTTTTAAAATTACAGTGTTTCATCATTACAGCCCTTCACAAGTCCACTGCTGAACATAGGCCTCCCCCAAGTAATGCCACAAAGCACGGTCCTGAGCCACCTGCATCCACCGACTTCCTGCATGTCTTACCAGGTCGTCAATCCATCTAGTTGGGGGTCGCCCTACACTACGCCTACCGGTACGAGGCTGCCACTCGAGAACCTTTCTTCCCCATCGGTTATCGGTTCTTCGAGCTATATGGGGCCGGCCCATTGCCACTTCAGCTTACTAATCCGTTGGGCTATGTCGGTCACTCTGGTTTTACTGCGGATATCCTCATTTCTGAGTCTATCACGCAGAGAAACTCCGAGCATAGCCCTCTCCATAGCTCGCTGAGCGACCTTGAGCGTACTCATACGGCCAGCAGTAGAGGACCAAGTCTCGGATCCGTAAGTCATCACTGGCAACACGCACTGGTTGTACACTTTAGTTTTCAGAGATTGAGGTATACCTGACGAAAAGATGTGTCGTAATTTCCCGAACGCTGCCCAGCCGAGTTGAATCCGTCGATTGACCTCTCGGTCGAAGTTGGACTTACCTAGTCGGACTATTTGTCCCAGGTAAACGTACTCGTCAACAACTTCGAGCATAGTGCTCCCAACAACTACCGGCATAGGTGTGACATGGACATTAAACATGATCTTTGTTTTGTCCATGTTCATCTTAAGACCTATCCGTTGGGAGACACCATTGAGGTCATTGAGCATAGTGCTAAGGTCCTCCAGCGATTCTGCCATAAGGACTATATCGTCGGCAAATCGAAGGTGAGTGATGTACTCGCCATTGATGTTAATACCGTATCCTTTCCAGTCCAGAAGCTTGAGAACGTCTTCCAACGCAGCGGTGAAGAGTTTCGGGGATATAACGTCACCCTGTCTTACACCTCTCTGCAGTTGGATAGGTTTCGAACTCTGGTTCTGTACTCGGATAGCCATCGTAGCCCTACTGTACAAACACTTCAGCACTTCGATATACCGACAGTCAACTTGGCACCGCTGAAGGGACTGTAGCACCGCCCAAATTTCGACGAAATCAAAGGCTTTCTCATAGTCCACATACGCCAGGCAAAGTAGCAGATTGTACTCTTCGGTCTTCTGTACAATCTGCCGCAGGGTATGTATGTGGTCTATGGTACTGAAGCCTTTTCGGAACCCGGCTTGTTCGGGAGGCTGGAAGTCGTCGAGTCTGCGTGCGAGACGATTCGTAATGACTCTCGAAAACAGCACGTAGACGCGGCTCAGAAGGGAAATCGGTCTGTAGTTCTTCAAGAGAGCGTTGTCGCCTTTCCGAACTTCTGCTCCACGCCTCCGGAGTAGTGCCACCATGGAGGACGGAATTGAAGAGCTTCTGAAGGACTTCAAGTACCGGTGTTCCACCCGCTTTCAGAAGCTCCGCTGTAATTCCATCCTCGCCTGGGGCCCTGCCGTTTTTAAGGTGCTGGAGAGCCATTCTAATCTCGCTCAGACTGACATTACAGTGTTCACGATATGTTATTTTCATTTGATTATGATATAAGTGTGTTACAGTATAATAATTTTAATATTTTAAAACAATGTATACATTTTTTATTTTTTTTATACACCAAGTTACATTTAAAAAAAATTGTGATTATTTTTTTTCTTTTTGCTGATGGGCGTGTAGTGTGTGCATATATATATATATATATATATATATATATATATATATATATATATATATATATATATATATATAAATATATATATATATGTAGGATAGAATAAGAGAGAGTTAGTAATAAACCTACAGTCAAGACCACTAGACGTATTATTATATATTCCCCGAATCTCCCCCACATTACAAATATTCCAGCGCAACTTGTCTATCTCTTCTTCCAGCTCCAGGATCTTCTCGTCAGTCCTCAGGGTACGTGCGTTAAATGTTGCCAGGTCGAGTCGTCGTATGTGGCAACAGAACCTCCACCGGAGATTCTTAGCACCCTCTGCCCCGGCGTTACCATGGTCGCCACCGTAGCCAGGAATAGCCGGGGCGCCGGGGACTGGGGGCCGTCTATTTGTGTAATTCATCATGGGGGGGATATTGCCATAGTTGCCACGCTTGGCGAGCGGGTTGGCAAGCGCAGTTTTTGTTGTACAGTTGCTGTTATCAGGAAGATGCTGCTGCCTCTCCCCCTCTGTCGCCTCGTACGACACCCACGGGAAGATATGGGGTAGTGGATATTCTTAACCGCCACTACACGGCTTAAAAAAGATTTTAAATAGTTATTAAAAATCACTATACGTTCCCGTAATCTTGACTAGGTTCATTGCCGTGGCATTACCAATACTGAAGTCAAATATTGGCGTGAATACAAATATTCATTGTGTGTGCGGCTTACGTGTACCTTCATGAGCTAACATGGAGCGAGCGTAGCCTACAGAGCAGTGCACAGTGCACAGAGCAGGTGGGTTGCAGGCGTGGACTTGGCGTGGAGCAGCAACGGGTTCGTGTACCACACGCGCCTCGACACGGCTGCTCGCGTGCCGCCCGCCGCGCTGCAGCACACCGGCGACAACGTGCTCGCGCTTGTACAAGGTCGGTGTGCTCTACGTACACACTCCACTCACATGCTCACACACCACACACAGACGCGCCTCGACACGACGACGCGTGCCGTCTGCCGCACTGCAGCGCATCGGCGACAATGTGCTCGTGCAAGGTCGGTGCGCTCTGCGTACACACACCATACACCATACACACACGCACAAGCTCAAACACCACACACACACACTCACACGCTCACATGCTCACACATCACACACACGCGCACCTCGACACGACTGCCCGCCGTGCTGCAGCACATCCGGAGACAACGTGCTCGCGCTCGTGCAAGGTCGGTGCGTTCTGCATATACACACCACACACACACACACACACACACACACACACACACACACACACACACACACACACATAAACACACACACACACACACACACACACACACACACATGCGCGCGCGCGCACACGTACGCACGCACGCATGCACGCAAACGCTCACACACCACGCACACGCACGCACGCATACATCCCACACACAACACACTGCATTCCGTCCGCATTACCCTTCTAATACATACAACAAAGTTTCAGGAAATGTACGACGTCTGTTTTACCAAGTTTAAATATTCTAAATAATAATAAAAAATATTATAAATAAATACTTACATGGTTGCATTTCTTGTTTACAATGGACACTTGGCTGTTATTTAAAATAAAAGGTTCTGGTTTACTACATCTCGAATTGTTCCCTTTTCCAGACAACTTAAGGGACAATATATGTAGCTTGTGAATCCAGACTTATTCCTGAAAAAACAGTTGACTCTTGTCAACCGGGAGGGAATCAAATTACGAACTAGTCACGTACTAAATTACTAAGAGATTGAATAAGTTAAAATTAAATAAATTATGTTGATATCGCGAAGAATACTGCCCTTTGTCGTGGTTTGCAAGTTGTGGAGTGTCGCGCAGGGATGCTGCGACATCCGGCACTAGAGAGCGCGGTGGAGCGGTCCGCCCTGCCGGCGTACTGCGACGTGCTGGGGCTGGTGGTGGTGGCGCTGCGGCCGGGCGCCGCGCTGCTGGCCGCCGCCGCCGCGCTGCTGGTGCTGCTGCTGCGCCTGCTGCTCTCCGCAGCTGATGCGCAGCGTCACCGTGAGCGTTATCTTGTTTTTTGCTGCTTCACTGCACTCTCGTACAATGTTAGCTGTATATGTAATGTAATGCATTATTGTATTCGGACGTAAACTGTGGAGATAAATTATTTCAGTCCTTCGTTCTTGTATTCTTATTCCAATGTTCGCGTTATAAATTATAAATAACGAAACAAAATACTTTTTTCGGATACTTTGATGTATTCAGGGTTAATTTTCAAGGAGTATCCGAATTTAATATTTAATTCCACGCGTCTTTATATTCACTAATAAAATTATCGCTTACTGCCCTTGAATAGTTTGATTACCTGTCGATTGGTAGGTACGCGTACGTTAGTTTCATGCCTTGGTAAAGACTCGCTTTCACATAATATTTGCGCACCACGTAAACTTTCATCTCTTAAAATGTTACACCGCACCATTTTATAATTCGATAGTATTCGCGATTCGAATATTTTCATTACGTCGTCGGTGACAAAGCCACATTATCTAAGAAAATATTAAAAATAGCGCACTCGTACGTAATGAGATTCTAATATAAGAAATACAAATTTTATTAAAAGCTTGAATACTTTAGATATTAAGACAGATTCCTGGGATCCGTTATCTAGACACGCAGTAGCGTGTCAAGCCAAGTTCACGCAGAACGGCGAGTCGCACCGTGTGATATTACACGAACCACTTGGAGCCACTTTTGACCCCCTGATAACTCAAAATATATTTCACATAAACGTTTCAAATTTGGCACATATATTGAGACTTGCACTTCGTAAACATATCTCAAATGGTTATTTAGATATTAATGTCTAAAAATCGTCATTTTTATCACTGAATGACCTATAGATCAAAATTTTAACCCAGTTCCAGATGACCTAGAAAGTTCAAATTTGGCATGCAGGGTAATTAGGTGAATACAAAGGAATATATCAGAAACTGATACATTTTTATCATTTTATTATAATTTTTCAGTTAATTGATTCTATTAGGAACATGTACACAGCGCGCGGTACCCCGCCGGAGCAGCGGGGTGGGAGGGGTGCGGTAAAACCTTGACGCGAACGTGTCCGAGGTCGGAGCGAGTGGCAGGTGCACTGGCAGCAGCGCTCATAAACGCGAGCGCCGTCTTGCTGTCCGGTTGTCTCTCGATATCTGACCTTTGAGGTGGCGATTTATGCTACGAAATTAATAGGTTTTCTTTAAAAATACTCATATATTTGTGGTTATATTATTATTACAATTCTTTTAGTAAGTACGCACCGCGTGTCTAGATGGTATAGGAAATAGTTTTTTTATTTTTTTTTTAACGTTACCCCTACATTAAGATTTTCTCTTGTATTTTGGGGGCAGTTTACAAACATAAATTGCACAAGGACGAACATCCAGACCCGGAACTACTTGTAGGCCATACAAATACTTGTTCCGTGCGGGATACGAACCCGCGACCCCCAGCGCAGCCACTCATTGCTAAGCCACTGCGCCACGGAGTCGTCAATCACAAATTATTAATAATTTTAGTATAGTTATAAGTAGGTATGTATACCTAACTCTGAATGACTGAGAATGAGACTTTATGGATATGGTAACAAATTTTCTTGAGAATTCAATAGATAACAGGTAATTTGTTATGTAATCGTCTTAAATAATTGTCTTTTTATTACGTATATTGTACAATGAGTCGTACCATAGAATTACGGGTGGGTGACACACTTACCTTACACCGAATTAGTGTTGCCCAAATTTTTTTTTTTATAGGATAGGGTGACAAACGAGCACACAGTTCACCTGATGGTAAGTGGTTGCTGTGGCCCATAGACATCTACATCTATCCTCAATTACGAATCAAAATGCAGATGCGTTGTCACCCGTGAGGACTAAGATGGAATGCCTCGTTTCCAGTAAAAAGGGTCTCCGGTTCTCTACACTCTCCATACGAAACACAGCAGCATTAAGCTACTATTTCACGCTGGTATTCTATGAGAGCGTGGTCCTTCCCCGGTCGAGCCGACCCATTCGTGCTACATCTATACATCTAATATAACTGCAGCATGGCTCTACCACGTATATACCAAATGCAAGAACAAGACGAGACTTAGCCATTCTTGGTCTTGGTCTCGCGCCAATACACCTGGTCTTGTTCTTGGTCTTGATATTGCGCTCTCAGTCTTGTTCTTGGTCTTGGTCTTGCAGCAATAGTCTCGCAAGTCTCGCAATTACCTATTAGCCTATTGTTATTTATTAAACGTTACTTTAGATCTTAGAACAACTTAACAGAGCAGGCACATTTTGAGCTTGAATTAACAAAGCCATAGAAAGACCAACCAAATTAATAAATGTCTAAACATTTAATGAGAAATTCGAAAAATCAACCGTCCCGATGCCGAAACCGTCCGTGCCGATGCTCTAACCAACTGAGCTGTCTACCAAGTCTCACAGCCACGGAAGTTTGTCTGTTTCTTAATAAACGTTTACATTTAATAAGCTTACATGTGCTAAAACTTAGTCAAAACATGTAAAAAACAAATTAATGACATTAACTTCACTTTATTATAAAGAACATTATCTGTCTAGAAAGAGATTGATAGACCCTTATATGAAATGGAATAAAAGAGTTATACAATTTACCATTTATTTAAATAAAAAAATAAAATACAATACAAATTAAATTACATAACAGTACACAACAGCTTTGAAATTACTGTCACTTTATATTAATTCTTTTGACCAAGAATTAATACAAAGTAACCATCTGGCTGACTCATCACTTAACCTATTTCTATGTTTTCTAATTACTAATGATGCTTTAGAAAATAATCCCTCAGCAGGTACTGAAGTTGCAGGTATTGAAAGAAAATCACGTGCCATCTTCGATAAAGTCGGATATTCTGTCTCATGCGTCATCCACCACTCTAAAATGTCTTCCGAACTGGCGGCTCTGGGTTTACTTAAATACTCCTCCAACTCGTCCATAACTAAGCCTTGATGAAAAGATCCATATCCAGATGACGTCGAGGGACATGCATACAATTTCTCAAAGTCTATTACGTCTTCATCTTCATCATATTCACATACTTTCTTTTAATTTCTTGGTGATTCTAGAGATGTATTCACTGATTGTAAACTTTTATATTCTTTACAAAGTTCATTAAATTTGCGCAGGCTTTCTGTTTTAATTTGCTTCCCCCATAATGTCATGTCAAAAGTTCGAGTCTTATGCCTTGGGTCTAAAATTAAAGAGGTACAATAAATCCAGTTGCTCTTTTTATAATGTTTAAGCATTTTGTCTCGAGCTGCTTGAAAACCCAGAATGAGCCTTTCATCCACTTCGGATTGATTAGGTTTCTCATCTAATTGTTTTACCATGGATTCAATTTTATTGAGCTAGAGATTGAATGATACAATGACTAGCGGTAATGCAACATATTTTTCTCCACCAAGTTTCGTTGATGGAAGTTTAAAGTTTATTAGAAACTTATGTATTTTTCGAGTATTTACCATTCACTATCTGTGATTTGAAAATCATTCAATTCAGTGACAGAAGTGCACAATATGTTAATGCTAGTTCTCACTTTTAAACCAAATCCAATCATATCATGTGTGGAATTCTATCTCGTTGGACAGTCGAGTATGGGGTTTAGATTTGATGGCACGCCAGCTGCTACACAAGTAGACTGAAACTTCCTCTTCAATATCTCACTTTTTTTTATTTTACTGGAAATACTGCGTAATTTTGTTATAGCTGTACGTGAGTCAGCAATATTTGGCGCATATTCTTCATCTTCCTCAGTTTCGTCTTCATTATCTTCATACCGCTGTTCTTGTCCCTTATTGTCAGTTTCACTGTGTAATGCTAAGGTCTTTAATAAATCTTGTACACCAAGGTTCAAAATGCGAGCAAAGCACCGGAAATGTTGATTGTCTGAACCAAAGTGTGGCAGCTGTTTGTCCGATTCATACATAAATTTGGTATTTGCAGTTGCGTTGTCGACCGTGATACCCTGTATTTTATCAATTATGTCATATTCCAATAAACATTCGTGGAAAATCGTTGCAATATCTTCCCCAGTATGTCGACCGCGTGATGGTATTAAATCAAGGACTACAGATAGATACTTCCATTCGTTGTCTATATAATGAATAGTGACCCCGTAGTAACTCCTACCAGCAATTGACGTCCATCCATCAATGGTAAATGACATTTTAGATGAAAATTGTTGTAGCCGTTTCTTAAGATCCAATTGAAGCTCTTCAAACCGTTCTTTGACCTTACTTCTAAATGTGGACCTTTTAGGAAACACCATATTTGGGCAAATTGATCGAAAATATACTTGTGTAGCTTCGTCATTGAAAAATGAGAAGGGAAGATATTTTTTAACCATCCAATCAACTGTAGCTGTCGTGATGTTGTCACTGCTATTTTCAGACTGAAATAAAACAGTAAAGCATGTGTCTCGCCAATTATAAAAACAAATGAAAATATAAGTGAATTATAAATACATATTTAACACTATAAACTATATATATATATATATATATATAAATATATATATAAAATATATATATATAAAAAATATATATATAAATACCACTCACTGACTGACTATAACGATATCTCAGGAACTATAAAACATACAAACTTGAAGTTTGTAAGGTAGGTTCCTTTTATGGCATAGAGATCAGTTAAGAAACGGTTTTGAGAAAATCTATCCCTAAGGGAGTGAAATGGGAGTTGGAAGTTTGTATGAATAGTCATATAGTCACTGTTTTCCCCAATTTTTTCTTTTCCATGTCCGGGGGTTCTGATTCTACTGAGAAGAATCATGGAAGAATGTAAGAAACTCAGTAGTTGCTCTTTTCAAAATATTTTTACAATAGTTCTATAATTATGTAAAGCGATAAGTCAAACATAAAATGTCAAACGTATATGTAGATACCAAATCGGTTTAGAAATTTCTAGTTAGTCTTGTGTAGTACGAGAGGTCAGTTCCAAGCATTTTTGTCTGACTTAAATTGAAAAGGTGAAAGATCTGACATTTCTTTTGGAATCTTATTATAAAAGCGTATATGGCTACCCAAGAACGCATTATATACTTTGT